TTTTTTGGAGCTTTTCCGCCGATGTGTTGACCGCCTGGCACCAAGACCTCCCGAAAACGAGGCCAACGTGATGACTCGTTCGCGTCGGGATGAAAAGGGGACCTTGTATGGCGTTCTCGGATGGTTCTGGAGCATTCTGAGGTGCAAGGAGTGGTCATGAAGTAAGTAATGCAGTAATACATCAGGTTCTAATCACAAGGGCATATAGCAGCCCAGGGTCAGATAATCATGGGAACAGTGAGGAGCAGATAGGAAACCACTTGGGAACGTACACTTGGCCAACCTTTGTCAAAGCTTCCTTCGTTTTCACAAAGGCGTTTGGCACTCGTGGCTTTGCATGCATTTTGGAATTGCGTTGTTTTGACCTTGCATTTTGGATCAATTTGGCAAAGAGGTGAATACACCCACTAGTGGCACAAGCATGGATCACCAAGACATGCGGCATGGCGCAGCATGTGAAATCTTATGACATGTTATTCTTCAAAAAGCGGGCTTACTGTATGCCCAGGAGGACCACCACCTAGGCACCACCTCACATACTTTCAATCAATCCAAATGGTCTAGGGTGGCCGCAGCACCATGGCGCCTTTCAGTAGCGATTGGATGGAGGAGGGTATGCCGGTCATTGGCTTCCTGATTGAATTGGAACCTAACTTGCCAACCTTTGTATGTGCATTATTTGGTCCCTTCTTGTTTCCATCACCGAAGGACAACTGGCAGTCGAAGCACATCCTGCGGGCGTCAAGTCGCTCCGCGTGGGAAGATGCGTTGAGGCATGTGGACTGCAAAGAGGCGATTGTGGCTTGCAACAAGGGCCATGCCTGGAGACAGAGCCTAAAACTTTTGCCACGGCCCTTCCTGCAACTGAAGCACTGGAACCCAGTGGTCCTGATCAATGGGAGCCTTAGTGCTTGCGAGAAGAGCTCAGCCTGGCTGCATGTGCTGGACATAGTGGAAGAGATGAGGTGCCGAATTGGCTGAGATGGGTGTTGGGGCCGGGTAGCGCATAGGTTGTGGGGCTGTTGTGAAAGCGCACATATTCTGAGACATTCGCAGGTTGGAAGCTCTTGAGCCCAGCCAGATGAGCCTTGGCCAGACAAAATCATTAAATTCTTTAGCCCTTAGATTCCATCATGCCACCAGAAATCCTTAGGTTTGAGTCTCTATCTATATATCTTTATCTATCTATTTATCTATCTTTCTTGTCTTGCCTATGGATTTGGAACATTCATTCTTGATCCGTCACTTCCTCTCAACTCGGAGTTCGCACCAGGAGCATCAGCAGCCGCTGCCGCGCTTGGGCGCAGAACTGGCGCCAGGCTCTGCGCGAGGGCCAGCGGGGCAACGCCGGGCAGCCTGGGACGACGGAGACGGGGGCCGGACACGGTCGGCCGAGGTGGCCGGAGGCCGTGTCCTCCAGCGTATCAGGTCGGCAATGAGTGCTTAAGTGAAGAAAGATGAAAGGAAGACGGGAACATCAGGATGAAGTTCCGATGAGTAGGCAGACCAACGAAGAACACCGAGCATTTTGCGGGCCATATTTTTGCCTTCAAGCTTTGGGCCCGGTGCAACATGGTGCTGAGCAGCCCGATCGGGCCTTTCGGGTCCTGAGGTGGTGACCCGCAATGTGGTCACAAGCGCTTGTGAGAAAGCCCATCAATGGTCAAAAGCGCTGAATGTGCTCCTTGGCCGTCCGATCGTACATGCATGTTTGGCAGAAAAGGACTGCTGGAGGTGTGTGACTTTTTACTTTTCGCTCTTCACTGTTCACAGGGATTGGTTCTCCTTCTTATTCATCGATTCGAGGGTGGCTCATGGATTGAGAGCAACCTCCATCCGCCCTGTTCAGGTGCCACTTTGTATAAGAGTGCGACTGACTATTGGGGGTGGATGGGGATAAAGACATGTTGGTTTGCTCACACATTTGTCCCAGGATCTTCCATGGTGATAAGGTGCAACGTGTACCATTTGGCAACACTTCGCAGCCTTTGCATGACCCTATTCGTTCTAGAACGGAGTCGTTGAGTTTCGCCCAACCCGAAGGCGACGAAGTGAACAAGTGCCCGAGGCTGAGCAGCATGTCGCCTGCCAACATGCAGCCCGATGTCATCAGCTACAATGCATCGATCAGCGCTCTGGAGAAGACATTTGACAGAAAGAGATTGGAGGCTTTTCTCAGTGAGGCGAAAGGCGAAAGGTGTATGGCATTCTGTCACGGATTGCTCTCAGGCGTTCCCTAAAGGTTGGGCCATCACAACTGGTCAAACTTGACGATCCATGCGCCCTATCGTTGAGAACACGTTGTGTTCTTCATGAACCTCCCATGTGACGATCAATACCTCTGTGTTTGGAGCCGGTGTCTTTGAACCAAATATGAGCGGACCGGACGTACACAACACAACCTACTCAAAAAATCATCCGGGTAATGTCGACTGTGGATGAATAACACCCCAAATCCATGGAGATGTTTGACCCTTTAGTGAGGAGCACCCCTTCTGTTTTACTACTGAACAGTCAACATGACTTGGGTCTTTGGATGCCAAGGAGTGCTCAGTGGACTTATGCCTTGGCGATGCTCAAACACCTCAGCCCCTCGGTTTGACCAGCTGCGGGTCAGTCGCCGCTTGGGCGGCTGCCCGGCTTGCTCGGTCTCCGAGGGAAGACTTGAGGCCTTTTCCGCTTCTTGTTACTACTAGTAAGGCACTTGTTCCTAGTAGCGATGCACTTGTTACTACTAGCTTCTTGTTACCAATCCAATAAACCATGCCAGTCAGGGGCTAACTTGATTTAGCCAGCCGATCCATGCTCCAATCATCCCGACCTGCTGCGGTGCTCGGAGTGGACGGATGCGGCTGGCCATTCCTAAGCTCAACACCAGACTGTTTCATCTTGGAAGCTGAAAACGCGCACTTAAATGAACAGGCTGTCAGCAAAACCGTGTGAATCCGAACTGGGCTGGATCATTTATTTGCTTCACTTTTTGCTCCATTGTTTTAAGGTTCTGGTTGGGGTCGCTTGCACCCCTCTGAAGTGACCTGCAATGCCAGCATCAGTGCATGTGGCCGAGCAGGGGAATGGCGGTGCGCCTTGCAACTCCTCGAGGAGATGTTGCTTGGCGATTGGACGA